TTCGTCTTCCTTTTCTCTCTCGGTCTATTAATCTTTTCTTCTAAATCTGGCACTTCTTTTTCCTCCTTTTACCCCTCCCATTCTTCTTCTTCTTCTTCTTCTTCTTCTTCTTCTTCTTCTTCTTCTTCTTCTTCTTCTTCTTCTACTACTACTACTACTACTACTACTACTACTACTACTACTACTACTACTACTACTACTACTACTACTACTACTACTACTAATACTACTACTACTACTACTACTACTACTACTACTACTACTACTACTACTACCACCACCACCACAACAACCACCATCACTACTACTATTGCTTCTTATTGTTCTTCTAAACAGAAACAACAACAACTACTACTACCACCACCACCACTACTACTACCAACACTACTACTACTACTACTACTACCACCACTACTACTACTACCACCACTACTACTATTACTGCTGCAGCTGCTGCTGCTACTACTACCACTACTACTGATTGATTGATTTGGCACCTTTCAGTCATTTCAGACGGAAACAGTCTTCCAGTTTGAGATCCTATTTACGCCATCAACTGCAAGAGATGTGGCATTAAATACGGACTTCATCATCAAAGTGCGGGGGGTCAGAGAAACCCTGAGGTACTCACTTGAGCTACAAAGTTCGTGTTTCTTGCTACGCACATAGTAGAAGTAGTACATTTAACCCCACCAGGACAGCACACAAGCCATAAACACATATGACACAAAGTGCCACCATACTGATGAGAATCACTCGTGGAGAGGTCCCAGAAACCGCGTTCAACCATTAGACCATATTTATGGCCGGGCTATATTGCAGCCCCTAGCAAGAGCGGGGAGGGGGCGTGGTGAGGGGAGGGGGGCTTTAAAATAGATTAAAAATTGCATCACACACGGGGACGACTAGATCATGCTACGAAGATAGTGAAAATATGGGGGTGACTGTAGTCAAGCTTATACAAGGAATTCCAAAGAAATTTGACTAAAAAGCTCAACAAAATGGTGAAGCAGAAAAACGTGAACAAAACAACACAGCGTAAGGTTTCGGCCGGGCAGCCTTTCTCAAACACAGGTGAACTAAACAAACGTAACAAACTTATGTTTCACTGCCACTGAAAAATAAAGGTAAAGGTGAAGATGAAGTCGGGAGATGTGAGCCAGCGTCACATCACATCACACGGTTATAAACCATAAATACTCTGCCACCAGTACGGACAGCTGATGAGAATTGTCCGCCTGTGACGCCGTTCGCATGTAACTCTGAAGCTACATCTACGTTCCTCCATTTACCCCAGAGTGTCAACTCTGGTTCCCATTTCCTAGAGGCTGTGTGAACCCCGGGAGCCGCCTGGTTTCGAACACCGACCGTGAGCTGCAGCGAGTCGCAGCTGGATTTGAAAGCGAGCCTCATATCGACTGAGCTAACGCCACCCCCCCCCCCCCTTGCATTGAAAAATAAATGTAATTAAATTAGTGATGTGCTATGCGTGTTTTAAGATGATAAATGCCTGAGGATAGTATATTAAACTGCGTGTGTATTATATAAAATGGTATTATTATAGATATACACAATATAGAGATGTGTGCAAAGCGAGACATGAACAATAAAGATATCGAGGTCGATTCGTAGGAACAGTATGTCATGGACCGTGTTGCGTGGAGGGAATAAATCAGGAAAAGAATGAGAATGAAGGAAGAAATGATGAGAGCTGAGCATCTGAGAAGAAACATACTAAATACATTTACAGGCAAGGATACTGATATTCATCATCATCATCGTCATTAACCACTTCTGCCGTCAAGCGACTTGGGGAGGAATAATTTGCGATCCATTGCACGTGGGCTGCCACTGGCTATTGTCATGCCGTGAAGGCGTAGAGTGTCTTTAATGTTGTTGATCTATATTTTCCGCGGCCGTCCTCTTGCTCTTGTAGCTGATCTTCTGAGATTTAGTGCTTGTGATGTATTTCATCTTGCGGCATTCTAACAAGATGGCCAAACCACTTGATCTGTTGTTTCTCAATGAATCTAGTACAAGGTGTCGTTTCGTTCCCACAATTTGCCTGATAGTTGGTTTATTATTCAGATCCTGATATTCCATGCTCTAATTGTGGAAGGCTTTTTTTTTCCTATTTGAGTCCCTGTGGGTTTACCATCAAAGGCCCAAGGGTAGTTAAGACAAACGTAAAGTCGGCGCGTCTTGCCTTCTTTGGGCTTCTGGATAGGAACCTATGAACGTACCATGCGTTCCTTAAGAGAGACAGGGCTACTCCGGGCGGGGATTGCTTGTCACATGCGCCATCGTCAAGGACTGTGGAGCCAAATGCCTTTTCATAGCACAGTATATCATTATTGTAGGAAAAGACAGAAAGATCCTTCCTTTCTAACACATAGCTAATTTCACAAAAGAAAATAATCTGTCGCAGTGTCTGGGCATAAGAGGTGTAATGCTGTTCATAATCTCGCAATGCCTGGTTGTGATTCAGCCGAAAAGGCGTTTTGGAGCAGGCCGGCTTGCCTTAATTTCGAAAATATAAAGTTAAACTCAAGGTCGTGATTATCGACTTCATTGTCAATGGTTATCCCATGTGGTCGCACTTTCTCCACAGAACGGCTAACCGCCTGTCGCATAGACTACGACATACATAGCTCCAGCGACGAATTCCCCGGGATATGCGTAAAAGTTTCTCTAGACAACTGAATGTAGCGTCAGAGACATCAGCTCACGACAGGTGCCCATATTAACATGTATATATACATACACCCATATATGTATGTGTATGAGTTATAAATTTATAACCCGACTAACGATCATAATTCGTTATGGAACCACATTCCTTAGCCGCAATCTTCGCCAACTACAGTATGATTTCCCGCAGACTTTTGCAGAAAATATCTAACAGAAATGATAGTATACATCTAGATGTTTTATTTTTAAAAAAATTTGACACTGAAAATAATAATGTATTTCGTAGATTGTTGGAGTTGTATAAAGAAAATTCGCACTGGAAATAACATTATACCTTGAAGATTCTTGGTGTTTTATAAACAAACTTCCCACTGAAAATGACGATAAACTTCGTCGATCCTTGGTGTTTCATAAAGAGAGTATGTACTGGAAATGATAGTATACTTGCTAGATTCACTGTTTTGAAAAGAAAATTTGCAGTGAAAATCTTCTTCTTCTTCTTCTTCTTTTTTTTCTTCTTCTTCTTCTTCTTCTTCTTCTTTTTCTTCTTCTTCTTCTTCTTCTTCTTCTTCTTCTTCTTCTTCTTCTTCTTCTTCTTCTTCTTCTTCTTCTTCTTCTTCTTCTTCTTCTTCTTCTTCTTCTTCTTCTTCTTCTTCTTCTTCTTCTTCTTCTTCTTTTTTTTTCTTTTTCTTTCTTTTTCTTCTTCTTCTTCTTCTTCTTCTTCTTCTTCTTCTTCTTCTTCTTCTTCTTCTTCTTCTTCTTCTTCTTCTTCTTCTTCTTCTTCTTCTTCTTCTTCTTCTTCTTCTTCTTCTTCTTCTTCTTCTTCTTCTTCTTCTTCTTCTTCTTCTTCTTCTTCTTCTTCTTCTTCTTCTTCTTCTTCTTCTTCTTCTTCTTCTTCTTCTTCTTCTTCTTCTTCTTCTTCTTCTTCTTCTTCTTCTTCTTCTTCTTCTTCTTCTTCTTCTTCTTCTTCTTCTTCTTCTTTTTCTTCTTTCGTTCGCTTGAAATAAATTATTCATGTCTGCAAGGTTGTCTTTAGAATGAACTTCACTTTCTTTTGTAATTCACTCAGCGAACTGTAAAGTTTGACTTGCACCGATGTTTCTCTTGGCCAAAAGTTTTGCCGTGATTTGTTGTATTTGGGACAGTCCTGGAGGACTCGGTCTATTATCTCAGGTGCCAGTCCACATGTGCACATGGCCGATTTTAAATTGTGTGTACATGTGGCTGCGAAATGGTTTGTGTCCTGTTCTAAGGTGTAGAACAATAACTTGCTTTGGTCTGTCCATAAAATAGTAATAGTCTTGTGACAGTTTTGGTGGTTTTCTGATTGATTTGATTGCAGTGAAAGTGATAGTATATTGTAGAAGATGTTACATAGAAATATTAGGATCCTGTGTGGCTGCTTTGTTGTTTATAGAAAATTTCATTTGGAAAAAAAAGTTTACTGTATAGACTATTTGTTGTTGTCGTTGTTAAAATTGTTTACTAGAAATGATAGTCTTTGGTGTAAGTAACTTTCTGGGTTTAAAGACGATGTCCACATAAGTGACCACACATTACCTAGATTCTTCTTACCATTTACGTCAGCAAGGTGTTGGTGAGGGGGTGGTTGAGGAGGGATGGGGCGGGGGTAGATGTAAGGATCGTTTGTGCCCTTTTTCCAAAGCATTGTACAAGATTGTGTTAAGTTAGGCTGCCCCTGATGATATCGCTCCATATCTTGCATGATCTTTTCCTTGATCTGTGTTCATTTTATTTGTTCAGCGTGGCTCTCTCTGTGGCAGTTTGTAACAGTGTGTTCTCGTCAGATGGCCAAACCACCTCATTTTTGTTCTTTACTGAATTGTATGATTGATTGCAGTCCTAGTTTTCTTATTTATGAAGTAAATTAAAAAACAAAATTGATTTTTGTCGCTAAGCATGCTTTGTTGCTGTTGTTCCTTTGGTAGAATGTATCCAAAACAAGTGATTCTGTATTTATTGTTTCGTTTGTATGTTGTACAATATTTAAATGAGGAAAAAAAAAAGTAAAATAATATTGATTGTGTCCTTTGTATGTTGTACAAATTTGTAAATATGAAATAACAGTAAAATGATGTTTATTATGTTGTTTTTATGTTGTACAATATGTAAATAAGAAATAGTTGTAAAATGATGTTTATTCTGAAGTTATTATGTTGTACAATATGTAAATAATAAATAACAGTAAAATGATGTTTATTGTGTTGTTTGTATGTTGTACAATATGTGAATAATAAATAACAGTAAAATGATGTTTATTGTCAGTGATTGTAGACGTCATCTGTGACTCAGACCACGAGGCTCTTTTTCCCCACATGGGTACACACGCACATAGCAAACAGCAGGCATAGGAACTGTGATGAAAAAATGAGAGCAAATTAGCTACTCAACAAACCTTATATATATATATATATATATATATATATATATATATATATATATATATATATATATATATATATATATATATACATATATATATATATATATATACATATATATATATATATATATATATATATATATATATATATAAATGCATATATGGGGACACAAAAACCAGTCACAAGAAATGCAGTAACACAAAAACCTGTGTATTAATGTGTTCACGTGAATAAGGACTGGAAAACATTTTTAAATAATCGAAAAAAAAAAATTTCTTTTTCTTCTACTTCAGTACTAGGTGGGTAATGTGATCAGCATTACGCCAGCGGCCTCTGCTTTCTTAGGACATAGATCCTGGTTCCCTTTTTAGGCTGGGTCGACCTGCTAAGTCGCATACCATGATTACAATCCACGCAACCAGCAGTGGATTTCGATGACGGTAGTTAGAATTACGAGTCGGACTCGCAACGCCTAAGCCACGGATGTTGCAGAGCCAAAACAATGAGCAATTCAAAATAAACAGCTGCAGGGGGCACTTGTAGGTAAATGGCGCGATGCCTGTCGTGCAGTGTTGTGGTGCCCGCATGTGATTAAAATTGATTGCGTGGGCAACTGCTGATCTGTTGACGACTTCTGCTACCATCAATGATGAACTGCAATTCTAATACTGTGATAAACATTCTGTGTGTTTTTCGTTGGCACAGGAGCGGAGCAAAGATGAGGTGACCCGTTTGCTATGAAGCTTAAACTAAGACTACCAGACTACCAGACCAGACTTGTAAGTAGAGTACATCCCAGATCATTGCAGTCCTAGAGCCCACTGGAACACTTTCCATCCACAACACAAGCCTGCAGACCTAACCAGTAGCCTCACTCGAAAGCACCAGTCAGCTGCATTTATATTGTGTATTAAACACAACGTCGGCTCTGTGGCTAAGTCAATGTGAACGCTTCGTAATGCCGGAATGCCGCGTTCGATCCAAGCTGTACGCCATGCGCCTTGCGTTAGTTTCGACAGTGGTATCAAGAAAGCCGACCGTCCAGAAGCAATGGCAAACTACTGGAGGTAAATTTTTCTAAAAAACCACACAACAGCCAGGGGCTGTTGGGGTTGGTTCTGCAAAGTCCTGTAAAGGATACGCAACTTACCATATTGGTTTCACTGACAAACTTTGGCTATGTTTGTCTTAGTACTGTTCCGCGATCTCTTATGTGGGAAAAAAATTCAATTTGCCCCACCCCCACCCCCCTCAGCCTTTTCCAAAACTTAGCTGTGTATCCTTTACAAAACCTTGTAGAACCAACCGCAACTTTTTTCAACTTTTGTGGTTTTTCTAGGCAAATTTACGTCCAGTAGTTTGCCATTGCTTTCTGGACAACCTATAATCATTTGGTAAAAGACAAATATTTACGGAGTATTTCCTTCGATGTTGAAGTGCATCTTCCTGAAAGACAAGGAACTAAAACTGCAAAATTTAAGCAGATATGTAAAACGGATGTGCACGCATACAGCATGTTCCGGAACAAGATCAAAGTGGACGAACATCCAAAACGTTCCGCCGGACTTTACAACCGGTAAGAAAAAAGTGGAATGTTGAATTAAGAATCCACATCATAGCACTCGGAACACTCCCATAAGCGCTGGCTCCTTATCTTCAACACCAAGCGAAGAGTTCTTATTCCGATGGCGCCAGTGCGTGTCTGATTGTTTATATCACGCTTGCCTTTTTTCTTTGTGAACTCGAACAATAAGAGGAAGGAAATAAACAACAGTAATACAGAGTAATTACTGCAACTAAAACAGGAAAAAGTAAAGGACCCTTTTCCACGCCTTTAGGCTATAGGGCATATAGGGCTAGACCTATATTTGTATAGACCAATAGCACAAGATGGGTAAAGTGGTCTGCATCACACCGGTCGTCTTTACTTCCCGGGACTGCACCCGGTACCCACTCAAGACTGGGTCGACCTGGGAGCCAAGGTCATTTTTGAAAAAAGTCCGGCTCCGCCGGGGATCAAACCCCCGACCTTCCGATCCGAGGCGAGCGTCTAGCCGCTCCTATTATCTTGTATGTTTGCCTTATCTCGCCAAGTTATTTTCTACAGTTATAATGGGACACAGAATATGAATCCTATCCACTTAAAATTTACAGACTACTTTTTAAATGTACCACTGTATGCATTATTTACATTCACAAGTGCCTCAATGAGTAGAAGCCTGGAGATTCGGCACCCCGGATTTTCCGCACTCATGTATTGGCACAGCTCGAGCAGTCTTTTTCTCCTTCTTCGTGTTCACCGGCTGTAAATATCGGATGGAAGTTCTGGTTGTTCGTCCACATCTGATTTTTGCGAGCACATCCTTCCTTTTCTTTTCTAAACAGATGCTGAACTGGCAGTTTCTTGCCTCCCAGGAAGATGCACTCTAGCTTTGAAAGAACGCCGTGAATTAGCTGACTTTTACGGCATGTTTTTAGGGGGTAGTGGGCTTATCTGTCTAACCAAAAAGTGCTCATGTACTCACACAGGGAGTTTTAGTAGTTAAAAAGCAGTAATTAACAGGACACTAACCCTCGACGTGCTAACACTGGCACCTTTTAATATCCACGAGCAACAGAGATTACATGTTCAATCCCGGTTAAGACATCAGCAACAACAAGAACATGAACAACAACAACACAAACACCAACAACACACATCAACAACAGCAACACCAGCGACACACAACAACAACAGCAACAGCAACAAGAACAGGAACAACAACAACACCATCGACACACAACAACAACAGCAACACCAACAACACACAACAACAACAACAACATGCAACAACAACAAAAAGGGGCGGAGGGTTGTTAGAGATTGTATGCAGCCAACATTAACTTCAAAGACGACACCAGACTGAACAACAAGATAATCCAAACTTGCCATGACAACAATGATAGCAACGGCGATACCAGCAATAGCCACGATATGATCCTCGACGTAATCCACCAGTTTATCGAGACAGCCCTGTTAAAAGTTATTAAAGTATGCATCATCAGAATAATAGTAGAATTTGTTGATAGTACATCGCAGGCCAACCCCCTTATTCTTTGTATGTGCTTCATTGCCGGTTTACTAGGCAATTTAACGTTCAGTTGTCTGTCTGTCGCTTTATATACACTTTGGGAACTCTGGCGCCCAGTAGCCTAAACTGCTAACACAGCTTTATCTAAATCCTAGGGGGCTTAACTGCCTACACAGTTTAATCTTATCCTCGAGTGATGGCCCCTGGCTTATCCCGGGACTAATGTCTTGACATCGACCTGGCTGCCACGAAATACGAAGATAAGTGATAGTGCCTATTTGTGTACAGTGGTGTAATATATGTATGTGCTGAAGAAGGCTCCACAACCGCAACGTTCACGTTTTATTTGTGTTTGATATATTGTGAAACTCGCTTGACATACTTATGGTTCGGTTTTATATCCTTCTCTGACACTTTTCAAAATCAACGCTGAGTGGTTTGTTACTTAATCGACCTCAGCTGTATTTACCTATATATATATTGAAATAACAAAACTTGCTAAATGTATACCTTTTTGCAGTTTATAACTCTTAAAACACAGATAATAACCGTTGACATTTTTGTTATCACCTATCTGTCTTACGAGACAATCAAAATAGTTTCAACTGTTGATCAAAAGTTATGGCCAAGTACTATGACTGGCGAGAAACAAGGCACCATAGAGAGCAATGTGGAATATTATACAGATTTAACTGTTATATAGCCAGAAGGTCGACCACGCAGAACTTGCACCTCAGAAATATCAAAGACACTGAAAATTATTATACACGAAGCGAATAGAATGGTCCTTTCTAGAGCTGGGTCCACCTAGGAGCCAAGGCCTTTTAAAACAAACGTTCAGCTATGTCAGGACACGAACCTACGACATTCAAATGCCCAGACAAGCGTCTAGCTGGTACACCACGGCGGGCCCTAGTTGTGTAGCTTGTGGTAATGTCATGCTGCATTGGTAAGTTCGACGTTAATCTCCCCAAATACAATAGGTAAGTTTTTATTCACAAGTTTGTTGGGCTGGCTGAATTTCCTGAAGGTTACGGGTGTGTCCCACTCTGTTGTTTGGTTTCCGCGATGTCTTCCATTTACGTTTTCATTCTGAGGAAAAGAATGCCTGTGACATAGGATGCAGCACTCTTTAGCGGAGTTGTGTTAGACCCTGTTTCTCCATTTTTTTTTTTTGGGGGGTAGTGTTAAAAGCGCTGGGGTGCTGATATATATTACATACGATATCGACGGCATTGCAAAACACCCCCATAACCTCGTGCGAAGGTCACGGGGTTCAGGAGCTACCAGTCAGAAGTGAGCTAGTGTGTATTTTGGCGGGATCTAGAGAAGACTGCGTCGAGCTAACCGCTGCGTTTTCTGTAGTGTCTCTTTTACTCCCTCCACCCATTTCTTTCTTGGTCACTCTCGTGCCTTGTAGGCTGCTGTTCCCCGGTATTATGCTCTAGCTGTTAGCTGACTTTGTTCCACTCTAATCAGATGACCAAACCATTCGCTTCTTTGATATTCTATGAAATCATTTACCCGTACTGTACCTTCCATTATTATTACTTCTTCGTTTGTGACTCTGCCTCTATTCTGTTTTCCCTGCTGCTTTTCTTATACATCTTATCTCACGCCCTGTTCGCTAGCTCAATTTATTATAGGAATAAACTCACAGAGAGCAAGTGCAGCAGGGATCTACCAGTCGTCAGTAGAAATTATCCTCGTCGACAAGTGTTTCGGACCACGATTCCTAGACACTTTCGGAGGTGGGCCCACCTGAGTTCATGAAGCTCAGGGCTGGTACCCTGCTGCACGAAATTACCGGATGGTGTTTTTCTTTCGGATAGAGACAAGACGACTTGGTGGTTTGCAGAAGGTACTGTGAGATAAGAAGTCGTCGCGGCAGCCTAATTAAAGCAGTCAGCATACCTGGACGACCGAGCGACAAGCTTACGATTGATTTACCGGACACATGTTGGACTTTATTAGCAGTTGGCAGAGGATCACTGGCAGACAATTCGGACATGATGGACTTTCAAGGGGTGAGAAACCCTTTTCCGCTAGACACTCGGACCAGCTCACAGAGGCCCGTCCACTACGTTGTTGCGTTGCGTCCAAAGCCAGCTTGAGGCTCTTTCGGCTACCTCGCCCAGTTTTTTTTTTTTTTTAAACTTTACTGGGTGGCGACTGGATGACGAACTCCTTGTGGTCCCGGTTCAGGTCCGGGGGGTAGGCAGAAAAGCCACATTTCTTCTAGATTTACATTATCTATCATGGAAGCAAGGTCGAATGGTTGCGATGTCCGTAGTACCGAGTCAAAGGGTTAACAACTCATGGTTTCTGGATATTTAAAAAAAAATCTAGTCCCACACGCGTTAAATGTGCGTTTAAATATTATTTTCTTTTTTCTGGGACAGCCTATGGCTGCAATTGACAGCACAAAGTTGGTACGAACTGCGCATTTATCAACTGATTTTTCTTGTGTATATTGATATCTTAATGCTTCACAGCAGGAACAATTAGGTACTAATTAGCGATTGCAAATCTAGTCATCTCTCTGTCGGATGCAATTTTTAGTTATTTGAAGCTCTACTCTGGTTCTTGCCAGGGGTTGCAATATAGCCCGGCCATTATTATGGTCTAATGGCTGAACGCGGTTTCTGGGTCCTCTTTACAGGTGATCCTCATCCACATGGTGGCACTTTGTGTCATGGGGTGATTATAGCTTGTGTGATTCCTGGTGGGGTAGAAAGTCAGTTCAGTTCAGTTTCATAAGGCAATTTATAAGTTGGCCTTCACTCTCTCTCTCTCTCTCTCTCTCTCTGTCTCTCTGTCTCTGTCTCTCTCTCTTTCTCTCTCCCTCTCTCTCTCTCTCTCTCTCTGTGTGTTTCTCTCTCTTGTTGTATCCCACCAGGACATCACACAAGCGATAAACACCCGGTAACACAAAGTGCCACCCGAGGAGAGGTCCCAGAAACCCCTTTCACCCATTATGGCCTGGCTATATTCAGGGCCCCGGCAAAAGCCAGGGCTGGGCTTCAAATAACGAAAAATCACCTCCCACGTGTGGACGACTTGATATATTAACCAGCTATTTGCCTTCAGTATTATGTTTTTACCCTCGCCGCGGATCAGAAGGACTTGGGTTCGCTCCCTGGCAGAACCGGACTATTTTCAAAAATGACCTTGGCTCCCAGGTCGACCTAGCCTTGAGTGGGTACCGAGTGCAGTCCCGGAAAGTAAAGGCGGCTGACCACATCCCCTATCATGTGCTGATTGGTCTATAAAAATATAGGTCTAGCCATATATGCCCTCTAGGTCTAAAGGCGTGGAAAAGAGTCCTTTACCTAATTTTTAATTGTGTTTTTATTTTCCTCTGTGCAATCCTCCGTCCTTGGTGGACACACACTGTGAATAAAAAATGTCAAACACGTGAAAGGAAAAAAAAAAAAACATGCACAAATACAACAGATCATTTCAACTAGTCTTTATCAACGAACAAACCACCATACTAAGACATCAACCGAACAGGTCAGCATAGAATAGGAGGAAATATTAAGAGAACATATATCTTACCTTGTAGTAGACGTATTCGCTTTCATGGGTGACTTTGTCCACAGACGTCTGGACTGGTCGGGATGGATCGGGGTTCAAGAAGTAACACATTGTTGCGTTGTAGTTGGGGTTGCAGCAGCTCTCAGGGACCAACTTCTTTGGAATATCTGGGGAACGAAGATCATCAACGCTTTCACAAGAAGCCATCATTGCCACAGCAACAACTCTTGTGTACTATAGCATCTTCACTACCATTACCACAGCCGCTACTTATTTTTTACTGCTTCTGTCGATGTTTCCGGTATGATGTAATCAAACTACGCATCGGCCTCTCCAGTTGCTACTGCTAATGCTTTTATCGCTACTACTTTCTTATATGTTGTTGTTACTGCTGCTGCTGTTACTGCTACAAATGATACACTTCCAACTACTGCCACCATTACAGTAACCACCACTACCACTACTACTACCACTGCTGCTACCAAAACTATTAATACTAACGCTACTACTTCTACTACAACCACAAATACTACTACTTCCATCAACTCTAAGACTTCCTCTACTAATACGAATACCACTCACATTATTACTACTACCATCGTCACAACTAATACTACCACCACTCCCACTATTTTTTATTACTACTGGTGGTCTCCGTGGCTGAGTGGTCAGGCCGTTTTCCTCGCGCTCTGAAGGGCGTTGTTTTTTTTATAATTTTTTCACCACTGCGTCGTTCAATTCACAAGTTCATTTTTACGGAGATCTCTGGGTATCGTCGCCAGAGCTACGGAGTTCGCGCTCTGTGCAACACTCTCGGCTGGCGGCAAGTCGTTCGGCGGAGAGAGACCGAACCATCTGGGATAGAAACCGAGACAACGAAGTCAATCCTCTCGACTTTAATCTTTCTATTAATACTAGTATTACAGCTAGAAAAACTACTACTGTCTGTTTTGTGATGTATTTTCTACTAATACTTTTGTCACTACTCATGCTGCTACTACTACTACTACTACTACTACTACTACTACTACTACTACTACTACTACTACTACTACTACTACTACTACTACTACTACTACTACTACTACTACTTTTACTACTAATACTACTACTACTGCTGCTGCTACTACTACTACTACTACTACTACTACTACTACTACTACTACTTTTACTACTAATACTACTACTGCTGCTACTACTACTACTACTACTGCTGCTGCTACTACTACTACTACTACTACTACTACTACTACTACTACTACTACTACTACTACTACTACTTTTACTACTAATACTACTACTACTGCTGCTACTACTACTACTACTACTGCTACTACTACTACTACTACTACTACTACTACTACTACTACTACTACTACTACTACTACTGCTGCTGCTGCTGCTGCTGCTGCTACTACTACTACTACTACTACTACTACTACTACTACTACTACTACTTCTACTACTACTACTACTACTACTGTCTGTTTTGTGATGTATTTTCTACTAATACTTTTGTCACTACTCATGCTACTACTACTACTACTACTACTACTACTACTACTACTACTACTACTACTACTACTACTACTACTACTACTACTACTACTACTACTACTACTACTACTACTTTTACTACTAATACTACTACTACTGCTACGCTACTACTACTACTACTACTACTACTACTACTACTACTACTACTACTACTGCTGCTGCTGCTGCTGCTGCTGCTGCTGCTGCTGCTGCTACTACTACTACTACTACTACTACTACTACTACTACTACTTCTACTACTACTACTACTTTCTGTTTTCTGATGTATCTTCTACTAATACTTTTGCCACTACTCATACTACTACTACTGCTGCTGCTGCTACTACTATGTTACCACTGCTGCTACTGCTGCTGATGCAGCTGCTGCCACTACTGCTGCTGCTGCCTTGGCTGCTGTTACCACCACTTCTACTGTTACTACTACCAATCCTGTTACCACCAGAACTGTTACTACAACTACCTGTACTACCAAGACTACTTGCACTATTATTACAATAACAAACTGTACATTCACTCAGACAAAATTAAAACTTATACCAATGATACACTGTAACTACTACTATCATTGCTCATCAATAAGTGCCTTGCCGCTTGGCGTGGGTGATCATGCCTCTCCAGAATCCGCCATGTACAAGTGTATCCGTTCGTGTGCTGACGCCTCATCTTGCCACGAATAAAGGCTGTCAAGAATCTTCTCCTGCTGTTTTCCTTTGTCTCTCTTTTCACCGATCTTTCCAGTGGTCACAGCATGTTCCAGCTTCCCACTTCTCGTAACACAGCGAAAGAATGATGACTGTCGCTTTCTGATGTTTGTGATAAGTTGTCTTCGAGCAGTCGCCACTTTCAAAACATCTGGGTTGCTCTACTTTTCTGTTCACGTAATTCTACCATCACTATTACATCCTATCATACTAAAGCTAAGACGACAGGCATAACAATGACAGCAGCAGCAACAACAACACGAAAAATAAACAACAGCAGCAGAAATATCACAACGACTTCTGCCACCATAAGCACAACAATCACAGAACTAGGTAAACTCACTGTTTGTGGAATTGAACCATTTACTGCTCTGCCATAGGTACCAAGATTTCAAACTTCCAGGCGTCCTGCCCTTCACGCCGCAGCACATCAGCTGTAGAAGATTATCGTCCAAAATGGAACCCATTTTGAAATGCATGCATGTGCATATGATCAATAAAAGAACTTTGGTCTCTGGTAGTGAGCACACTTTGAATCTTTTCTTCAGAATATGGCGGCGTAGTAGGTAATGAACAGGCAGGCGGATTGGCTGGATCTGCACCACTGGGTGGTGAATTGATACATGACATAGCAGATGTGGTCAAGGCCCTTTGGGAACAAGCATTGAAATCAGTAGAGAAACAAGATTATTGTGGCCTGGAGAGAATGAGGCACCTGGGTGTAACCAGAGGGTCTGGCCGGCTTACTACACTCAGAGGAAAGGCAAGACGGACATTTAAACATATTGTGACCGGTACCATCTGTATTGGAACTCTGCGCTGGCTGCTGAGGATGAGGACGGAGCACGCATGGTCATGCCTGGAGTGCTGAGATGTCAATTCTTGACTTAACTTAACTGAAAAGAGCACTGTTCAACAAAATAACCTTTCCAAAGTTATGGTAGCAATGTCAAAAATGGGCACTATCTTCATAATACAGTTGGAAAAAAGTCACGGCAGACATGAAATGATTACGTGCTATGTTATGTGTAACAAGTAAATAACGATTTAGAAATGATGATATCGGAAGGACAGTCGGCACAGAACCAAAATTAAACTTTTTTTTCGGCAGACAAAGGATTTAAATGTTTGGCCGTGTAACAAGATTGACACCAGGCAGGGCACAGTGAGACATATATACGCAGCCATTTTGTTTTAATGAAACAGAGATACGAAAACATTTCATTTTAAAGGAACAAACATATGTTCAGTGAGACATACATACGCAGGCATTTTGTGTAAGTAAAGTAAAGATCCCTTTAGACGCCCTTAGGCGCATCGGGCATATGGGAAGAGTACCCATATTTTTACAGACCATTCGGCACTCGGTGGGTAATGTGGTCAGCATTACGCCGGCCGTCTTTACTTTCCCAGGACAGCCATCCTGGTACACATTTGAGGCTGGGTCGACCTGCGACGCCCTATACTACGATACAAATCCACGAGCCTACGCAGGTTTCGATCGCGGTACGTTGGATTACGAGTCAGACTCGCAACGCCTTAGCCACAGACGCCGCCCATTTTGTGTATAGGCACAGACATATGAGAAGTGAAACAAATATACGTAGATATTTCTGCTTGCGGTCACAGACCGTGATACATGTATACTCAGGGATTTCTGTTTATAGACACAGACATGTGAATAGTAAGACATACATACGCAGACATTTATATTTAAAGGCACAGACACACGTATACTGAATCACGCATACCCAGACACGTCTATTTAAAGACACAAGCATATGTATAAGGAGACACACATATGAAGATATTTATATTTATGAAGACACACATATTATAATGAGACTATATGCTCAGACATTTCTGTACATACACGCAGCCATATGTATAGTGAGACATTTATCTCAGAAATCTATGCATACTGACACATACATATGTATAGTAAGATATATACATTTCTGTATATGGACACATGTATACTATAGTGAGACATACATACGCAGACATATCCGTATATAGAGACAGATATACGCAGACATAACTGTATATAGAGACAAATATACGCAGACATATCTACATATAGAGACAGATATACGCAGACATATCTGTATATAGAGACAGATATACGCAGGCATGTCTGTATATAGAGACAGAATTACGCAGACATATCTCATATAAAGAAAGATATACGCAGACATATCTGTATATAGAGACTGATATACGCAGACATCTGTATACAGAGACATTTTTTACGCAGACATATCTGTATATAGAGACAGATATACGCAGACATATCTGTATAGACATATATACGCAGGCATATCTGTATGCAGAAAAGCAGACAGGAAGACAGAAAGGGAGACAGACAGAGACTGGCTCTCACTTTTCTCTGCAGGTCGTCCCAGACATTGGTCACGTCATTATTGTCGTTGTTGTTGTCGATGTCCACTCCGTAGCGGTTGACAAGGGTCGACTCCATCTCCATGGCGATCTTCTCTTGGACCTGCGGGTGTGCAGCGGTAGGATGGGCGAATGGATAAATTAATGCGTGAGTGGGTTAGCTTCTGGGTGGGTGAGTGATCAAGCGGATCAGTGAGTGACTGAATGAGCGAGTGAGTGAGTGAGTGAGTGAGTGAGTGTGTGAGTGAGTGAGTGAGTGAGTGAGTGAGTGAGTGAGTGAGTGAGTGACTGAGTGATTGAGTGAGTGAGTGAGTGAGTGAGTGAGTGAGTGAGTGAGTGAGTGAGTGAGTGAGTAAGTGAGTAAGTGAGTGAGTGAGTGAGTGAGTAAGTGAGTGAGTGAGTAAGTGAGTGAGTGAGTGAGTGAGTGAGTGAGTGAGTGAGTGAGTGAGTGAGTGAGTGAGTGAGTGAGTGAGTGAGTGAGTGAGTGAGTGAGTGAGTGAGTGAGTGAGTGAGTGAGTGAGTGAGTGAGTGAGTGAGTGAGTGAGTGAGTGAGTGAGTGAGTGAGTGAGTAAGTGAGTGAGTGGACAGTCAAATGAAGGAATTCTAAAAAAAAATGAAAAAAAGCATGAGTGAATAATTACGTGAATAAAGAGAAAATGAATGAATGAATGAATGAATGAATGAATGAATGAATGAATGAATTCGCCTGGATGAATAAATATAGAAATAAATATCACATACACACACACACACACACTCACACATTTGATATGTCTGTACTCTTCCCCGGCGGCATTTACATGCCGACTATCGAAACCCAAGCAAAGAGGATATTTCGAAAACATAATCCTTGGAAATAGAACCTGTAGGTCGAGGTCTGTGATGCACATTTACAAACATATCAACCACCAAGTATTTATTATACAAATAAAAAAAATGTAGACCAGAGGGCTTCACAGTAAAACAAGCACCAAGGAAACCTAAACGTTGCGGCTATAGAACCCTCATCAGCTCATACATAAATCAAACAAAACCAAATACACAAAAATAAAGTATCTGAAGAATCTATAAATACATATATGAATTTATGCATGTAAATATATATATGTATGTATATATATATTTATATTTATATATATATATACACACACACACATATATGACTGTGGAGTCCAAAAATAATAATACACAATCAACTTCAATCATTCTTACTCCCCGTATTATTTCTGAGACTCCGTTTTGGAGAACAAATAATTGACCCATTGCCGCACTCCCTCCAACAAATATGTCATAGGAGGCATATGGTTAGAGGCGTTTCCTTTAGAGTTGGAGGTGGGGGGGGGGGTGGGGGGGGGGGGGGGGGGGGG